CTATCTATCTATCTATCTATCTATCATCTATCTATCTATCTATCTATCTATCTATCTATCTATCTATCTATCTATCTATCTATCTATCTAATCTTTCTGTACCTTTTGTTTCTTTCAATGATTTTTTATCTATCAATGATATCTATCTATTATTTATATCTGTCTGTCTGTCTGTCTGTCTGTCTGTCTATCGTCCCTGTATCATCTCTCTGTTTCTCTCTCTCTTTTCTCTTTCCATCCATCCATTATCTATCTCTACCAGCCAGCTTGTCCCCAGCCATGTTAACAGAAGAGGGAAGTCAGTGGTCTGTAAAATCCAACACTGATTAAAGAAGCGATTACGGTTCTCCCTCTGAAATTGGCTATGCTAATGTATGCTTCTATTCTGGGACAATATTTACATGCTAAATAATAAATCCAGTTCAAGGCTGCCAGTGAGAAGATGGGAGGCTGCCCTGAAGTTGAATGAAAAGAAAAGTTCAACAGCATAAAACCAGCCATAAAAAAGAGATAATGGTCTGTCATAGAAGGAATGGAGGTTTTTTTTTCTCCCCTGGGTGTTTTATTCCTTATACAGAACCATCCTAGGAATTTGTAACGTCTAAAGGGAGAAGAAAAAATAGAAGGGCTGCTTTGGGAAATAATAATAATGATGATGAGAATTCATCACAGCTTGGAGCTGCTGATATATGGTTCTTGGGAAGAACTTGGCATGAATGGAGGCCAACACCCACTAAAGAACTGGCAGCTGAATTTGGACTCCTTCCCAAGGACTTGGGATAGGAAGATATTGTTTGCAAAGATAGTGTCAGGTTTCCTAAAAATGCCCTAATTGATTGATGAGTATTGAGCCAAGTTTCAATACAAAACTAGTCATTTATTAGGAGCACCATTAGGCAAGGTGTTTCATAGTCAGATCTAAGCTTTGTTTACTTTATGGCTGAACTTAACCCGTTCCTCCCCTTCCCTCAGTCTGTGTCATGAATCACATTCTGCAATGAGGTGCGCCCCTCCCAAGCCTTCTGCAGTAATCTGACTTTAGCCGAAGGTATGTGTAGAATGCACTCCCCCCTCCTTCTCTCACTGTGGAAACTTTAGGAGTTGACATGTAGTACCAACAGTAAAAGGTGCCTTGGATATAATTGCAAAACATCTGGAGCATCACTTGAACATCGTCAGCACTGACACAACCCCCATAAGTCAATTGCAAAAGGCAGCCTGATTTGGAACAGCTTACATCTTTCAACAACATTTTTAGTGCCATCAAATGACAACATCTGTGCATGGGAAGGACTTGATGGGTGGAAAGAAATGCCAGATCTGATCGAAACATCTGGCTGAGTGGGTAAGCAACCGTAAGAATAGAATTCTGGTGTCCCAAAGGTGCTTTTTCAAAAGGCAAGTGGACTTTTTATTTTTCCCTAGAAGACGTTTTGCTTCTCATCCAAGAAGCTTCTTTCCTTCTGACTGAATGGTGGAGGGGGTTCATTGGTCTAAGTGGCCTCAAGGACTCTCAGAAAGAGCACTAACGACCAGATGACTGCAAGGAATATGAATCCTTCCAACCTCCTCCTTTCAGTAAGAACTGAAGAAGCTTCTTGGATGAGAAGTGAAACGTCTTCAAGGAAAAACGTTCATTTGCCTTTTGAGAGAGAGAAAAACACATGTTTGGGTCAGCCTGGATGACTGAGAATCTCCATAGACATTTAGAATTCTGGAAAGTTGATTCTGAGTAAATTTGTATAAAATTGAGAGATGGAATAAACTTCTTTTACACCACTAGGTTGGGTTGGTTCCCCCTTGCACATATGTGCTAGTCGTTCCCAACTCTAGGGGGCGGTGCTCAACTTTGTTTCAAAGCCGAAGAGCCAGCGCTGTCCGAAGACGTCTCCGTGGTCATGTGGCCGGCATGACTCAATGCCAAAGGAACATGGAACACTGTTACCTTCCCACCAAAGGTGGCTCCTATTTTTCTCCTTGCATTTTTTACGTGCTTTTGGACTGCTAGATTGGCAGAAACTGGCACAAGTAACGAGAACTCACTCCATTATGTGGCACTAGGGATTTGAACCGCCGAACTGCTGACATTTCTGATTGACAAGCTCAGCGTCTTAGCCACTGAGCCACCGCGTCCCTTTACACCACTAAGCCAAGTTGATGGGAGGTATTAATCAAGTATGAAGTGCAAGGAATAAAGCGTTAAAATGGGCTTCTTCCTAACTATTCACCTTTTCTCATAATTTAACACTCGTTGGCAAGGTGGGAATAAGCCCTAGAAGGATGTTATAAGTCTGAAAAATTCAGTTTCTTTTCACTGTAGCATCTAAAAATCTCTTGGTATGTGTGCTTAATTAAACAATATCCTCTCTATAAATCTTCAGGCTGTAAGAATGCAATAAGAGATTTTACTTTGGGAAAAACAAAGGGGCAAAGAGCCTTGGTCCATTAACTCATGAAAGCTTCCTGCTACCCCGGATATATGGAATAAAATATTGCTCCCAGACATGAAATCCAACATCTGTCACTTCTCTCGCAAACAGCTTTCATCGCAAGTAAAAGGCACCAAATAGAAATAAAGGCGGAATAAAGAAATTTAAGGTCAACATAACTCTTTTGTCATGGCAATTCACATTGTCAACTCACCTAGTCTGGAGCTGTGGTTAACAGAGTTGGAAGAGACCTTGTAGGTCATCTAGTCCAACCCCCTGCCCAAGCAGGAGACCCTACACCATTTCTGTCAAACTGCAGTCCAGTCTCTTCTTCAAAGCCTCCAGTGATGAAGCTCCCACAACTTCCGAAGAGAACTTCTGTTCCATGGGTTGATTGTTTTCACTGTCAGAAAGTTCCTCCTTATTTCTAGGCTGAATCTCTCCTTGATCAATTTCCATCCATTATTACTTGTCTGGCCTTGGAAAATAGCTTGACCCCCTCCTCTCTGCGGAAGCCCCTCCAATATTGGAAGACTGCTATCCTGTCTCCCCTGGTCCTTCTCTTCACTAGACTAGCCAGGCCCAGTTCCTGCAACTGTTCATCATAGGTTTTAGTCTCCAGTCCCTTCATCATCCTGGTTGCTCTTCTCTGCATTATTTCTAGAGTCTCAACGTCTTTTTCATAGTGTGGTGACCAAAACTGGATGCAGTACTCTAGGTGTGATTTTACTAAAGCTTTATAGAGAGGTATTAGTTCCTCACTTGATCTTAATTGCATCTTGATTGTATCTTGATCTTGATGTTTTGGGTCAACCTGCCTTATAACACAGTCTTGTTCAATGGTAAGAAAAAGGAGTGAGAATGAAAGTTCAAAGGAGTTAGAGATCTCCCAAGATCACGGGAGATCTCATGGGGTTTGGAAGCATTTGTAGAAAGATGCCTGCAACTCACACAAGATCTCATCTCTTAACACAGACATTTGGCCAGATTTGGGGATCATGGAACATTTTCTCATTGGGTAATCTGATAAGCATTGGGGATGATGGGATATTTGCACAGGGAAAGAGTTGAGGATTTATGAAACATTTGCTCATAGAGATCTGATGAGTCAGGGATCACAGGATGTTTTCTTACTAGGAAATCTCATCCCAAAGGTGCTTTTTCAGGAGGACTTACTTGTTTTTTCTTTGAAGAGGTTTCGCTTTTCATCCAAGGAGCTTCTTCAGCTCTGACTTGGATGGTGGGGAAGGGAAGGATTTATACTTGCAGACAGTTGGTCATTTGCAACCTTTTAGAGATTCGTTGAGGCACTTGGAGGTTTATCTGTGTCCTCAGGGTCAACTAAGAGGTGCAAATGTTTTCTGTAGTCTGCAATTTTCCTCTGGAAATCCGTTCCTACTCCCACACCATTCCAAGGTTCTTCATCCCAAATTGCATAGCAAAACGTCTGTAGAGATTCTCAGCCATCAGGTCACAGTTGTCCCAAAGGTGCTTTTTCAGGAAGCAATTGGACTTTCTTCTTTTTCTTTTGAAGAATAGGAAAATCTGGGAAATCTCATAATTTGTGGGACATTTGCACATTGAAAAAATCTCAAAAGAGTTGGGGATCATGGGATATTTGATTGACTTCTAACGCAATGGAAAGCAGGATGGATGCAGCTTGCTATGCATCTCCATCATGGCTAAGCAGGAATTTTATCCTGAACCTCTGCAATCCTAGTCCAACGTTCAAAACACCTACTGCACACCAGGTCCTCCAACCTTCAAATTTAGCAACTCCTGAACTTCGAAGTCAGGTGGAAAGCTTCCAAAGATATACACATATTTTATCTCAGCATCAATGCTAGAGGAGATACTAAAAAGTATTGAATTTTACTAACTTCCTCAGGTTTATTAGCATTCTTTAGCCTTTAAAGAGGCCCGCAGGAAAAGGCGAAAGAGATTTTTGTCCTTCAAATCCTGACATGCCCCACTTGGTTGATTTACTTAGATGTATCTGAGGGGGTCCTTGCTGCTTTCTGGGCTTGGTTGGTGGTGGTTGTTTTTTTTGCACACATTTCATTATCCAAACTAGATAACATTATTAATGCTAGAATGGAGTGAGGTTTGCAGGGGGGAAGAGGAGGAGAGGGAGGAGGAAGAAGGAGGAGGGGGGAGAAGGAGGAGAAGGAAGAGGGAGAAGGAGAAGGAAGAAGGAGAAGGAGGATGAGAAGGTGAAGGAGGAGGAAGAAGAAGGAGGAGAAGGAGAAGGAAGAAGGAGAAGGAGGATGAGAAGGTGAAGGAGGAGGAAGAAGAAGGAGGAGAAGGAGAAGGAAGGGGGAGAAGAAGAAG